AAAAAAAAAAAAAAAAAAAAAAAAAAAAAAAAAAAAAAAAAAAAAAAAAAAAAAAAAAAAAAAAAAAAAAAAAAAAATAAAAAAAAAAAAAAAAAAAAAAAAAAAAAAAAAAAAAAAAAAAAAAACAGTAAAAAATATTGTTAACATTACTAGAATCAGGAACAGGTTCTCCTTCTTTTGCCACTGCCACAGGATACCATCTAACATTGAACAAAATCTCTCCATATTGTTTACCCTCAAATAAAACTTGTGCAGTACTATTATAAATATTATAAATATCATAAATATCAACCAACCATAAGGATTTCAAATGAAAATTAAAGAGCAAAGTATTAAAAAAATTACACTTGATTTTGTTCCGGATTATCAATTAAGCTATTTAAAGAAAATGTAGCGATTCCTAAAAGTTTGTCTGCGGTGAATTCATTAGCATCATATATTTCAAATTTCAAGACTTCGCTTAATGTTTTCAGTACTAAATAATGAGTTTCGTCCCAAACCGGATCTAATGAATCATCAATCACTTTAGTACGACCCAATTCAGCTTGACCAAGTATCGTCAATTTCACATATGGGTCAGAAGTGCCGAATCTTTCTACATTTCTAAGTTTCTTTGCAGATATAATCTTAAGTTCAAGAACACCAATAGCAGTTTCTAGATAATAATAATAATTAATAAAACAAACCTGAAATTTATTTTATATATCAAAAAAAAATTTTACAAATTTACCTATTGGGTAACCACCAACCAAAGACTCAGCATCTAAAACAAACACATTTGGATCGTACATCATTGGGCGTAAATTAGCATGAATTTGATTACGAATGAAGTCAGATAAACCAGGAATCTTTAAGAAACACGTACATATGTATGTGTGTCAATAATCATAAATTACAAAAAATATGACGAAAAAGTCAATATAACCAAACATACATACATTGGCAATATCAAATCCAAAAGTTTCGCCACCAATTGGTTTTAAAACATAATCAATTTTTGGTTCTTCCAAGAAGCTCAAACCAATAGTTTTTACATGAGGGAATGTATTCATCAACTTCAATTTGATTCTCATAAGTCCGGAGAAAGATATATCTTCCAATAAGACTGGAAGCCCAGCTCCTACCATTCCTCTTCCAACGCGAATAGTGAGGATAATCTTTGGATTAACTTTTTTGATTAATTGAGCTCTAGTCATATTGGCAATATCGTTTGGAACAAATGAAACTCTCCAATCCATGATCTTTTCAAAAATTAAATCATTAATACAAATTCTTTATTGTTATTATTATAAAATAACTAATTACCACAATATCATCTTCAGCATTTGGATAAGATTTAACAGATTCTATAATAGGAGCCTTTGATCCTAAAGTAAAAGTTGTCAAGCGAATAGAATCTAAAAATGAAGGTGTCGATGATAATAATATACCGTCAGCGATTTGTACAATTGTTGCTGATAATACTGGTTCATATATCATCCAAAAGCGATGTAAAAATTCATTTATCCACTCGGTTGTTTCTGAATCAGTTTCCAATTTTTCTTTTGCAAGTTCACGTGCAATATCACTACGTGCGTTACGATGAAATCTTCGAACCGAGTTTCTGAAATATGTAGCTAAAGTGATGATCGATTAATTTTTGTTTATTTGTTAATTGATTGATTTTTTAAAATTGATTTTTAAATTTCAAATTTTTGCTGATACTAAAAATAACTCACCAACAAAAGCACAAATTATAAGAACCCAACCAAGCCCACCACCAAATAATGTGACAAAATAAGTGGAAAATACTGCGACAAAAACAACAGCTGCATTTAACCAAAGCTGACCAAAATACATTTCTCCTAATATTTCATCATAAAATACTTTTTCTGGGGCCTTTGAATCAAGTTCCACAATATTTTTCCAACCGATACGTGCCCATTCTGGAATTTCAGAAGCAGACTCTACTGCTAAATGAGGTAAAGCTCCAGGAAGGTTCGCACTAGTAGTATCACCCTCAATAACTCCTGTAGTTTTACTACTAGAAGCAGCAGCAGGATCAACACCGCTACTCTCTTGAACTTGTTTAGCCTTTACTTCAGGAGGAGCGTCAGGGTCAAATTCGTGTACAGTAGTATCAACATCTTCCATAACACGATTTATTTCTTCTTTCATAATAACTTCCGGATTTTCAACATTCTGCGAAGACATTCTTTTTAAACTTTTAAATTTTTAATTTAAAGGAAAAAAAAAATAGTTAAAATTTTTTTTCTCAGGGTAATCTTTTTATCTTTTATCGGTACGTTGATGATCAACACTATTTACGGATACAATTTAAACTATTTGGTATATCGGTAGATTTTATTCAGATCGAAGATTAAGTTAATATTAAATTTTACATTTAAATATTTGTGTCATTAACTAAATCTAAATAAGTTACTTTTATACAATTGGCGCTGAATATGGTAGTTTTATGTATTAATAATAATGAAATCATAAGTAAGTGAGTGATAGTGATGGCAAGTAAATGATAGTAATATTACATCATCATTAGGCGATCACGAGGAACCAAAAAATAAAGATAAATCCTATCACTCACTTCTTTTCAAAACACTTGGGCTGTAACAATAAAATAATGCTTAGTCTGTGCGCACGAATCAAATTTAGAAATTATTTTGGTTATTTTGCAAAAAACGATAATCAACGTAGAAACAAGTAAACGTTAAAAATCCACGGTACTTACTAATCAAAAATCTTTCGTCTTATTATTATCATTTGAATGGCATATCAGAATTAGAGGATCTGCATAAAAAATTTGGGCAATCTCAAAAAATTTTTTTTGGATAATTTATGATTCCTACATTTATTTAGCATTATCATCAATAAGAATCTTATACATAATTATATTTCAAATTTTATTTATGCGCATGTATGAGAGAGGAAATAGAATCAAGGTTCAGGATGACAAAAACAAGAATTAAATTGTGAATGAATAATAATACAGTAATAGTCAAATCAATTCTGTTTTGTTGTGAAGATCTTTAACTTGTTGTAAAATCAACAATAAGCCATCTTTTTTCTTTGTTGCTAGTCTCTTGAGCTATGGATGGTTAGCTTCATTCAATGATCCAATTAATGATTGGATTATTGATACCAATTCCTTATTGAACTTTCTGTTGGTCGCCTTTCATCTTCTTCAACAGTAATTGGAATGAGTGAGTAATCCTAGATGACTTTGTTGAACTCATCAACATGAAAACATTGTATTCTTTTTGAAAATTGGATGTGAACGAGGACAAATAAATTTGAATCAAGGTTAAATTGTATTATGAATAATTTAAATAAAAAATTGTATTACAAACAGAAACTCTACCATATATTTATTGAAATGAGATTTGACTGTATATGGGGCATGCTGCAACAAAACCAGACAAAGTGAACATTTATATTGCTGAGAATTTCAGGGATCAAAATTTAGTAATGTGATTATTAAAATCCCCATTTGTTATATTTGTTTTTTCTTGATATATAGAATTACCTCTATATAAAAATAGTTAATATGAAGTTAATTTACATCATATCTACTATGGAACCCAAGAATTATAGCACCATTAGAAGTATTCTGAGGAAAGAACAAGGTGAAAAAATTGCTCCTTACATTTTTAAATTAGCAGATATCAAATCTTTACAAACATATTTAGACAAAGAAGGGATTACCTATGAAGTTTATCAAGAAGAAAGAAAAATAATAAATGTTAGAAAAAGAAAGCATCATGATGATGCATTATTACCTAATAAAAAGCAGAAATCCTTAGAAGGAAAATAATCATAAATTGCATTGTTTATCAATAAAAAATGTTTTTGTTTGAACAAATTTTACATTTGAGGATATGTTTATAAATCTTTGTTTTTCTCTCATTGAAGTTGAAGCAAGGTAAATAATCCCATCTCGTATTGGAACATTATGAAAACATTACCAATTCACTTAATTTTCAGGTAAATAACAAATCCTTCTAATAATCACCATTGACAATTTTATTTTTGTTTAAAAAAAATAAATAATAAATGTTTTCATCCATAATAACATTTTTTAAAAAAATGCTTACATTCAATGGTGAATTTTTTTGCAAGTTGTTAATTGGAGTTTTCCTTGATTTCTTATTTCACTATAAAACTTGCAAAAATCAATTTTATATTACCAAGAAAAAGCCAATTCAAAAATAAATCGGACAAACTTACTAGTGATAAACAATATTCACAAGAAATAGAAATCTATGAAAGGATTCCAAGCAATTATTTGACAAAACAACTGGGTTGAATCCCAAGTTTTTCATTTGGTGAGATGGCCATGGAAATTTGTGAATTATTTGGTGAGAAAAAAGTTGCTGCTTCTATTGTTAAAAATTTCTATCAACGAAAAACAAACCCTAGAAGCAAAATGATAGAAGCAATTCAACAGTGGGTTGAGAAAGAAAAGATGAAAGAGGTAGAGAGTGAAGATGAAAAAGATAATGAAAACAACAAAGATATGAATATTAACAATGATATTATTGATAATAATAATAGTAGTAGTAATAGTGAAAGTTGGATTTTTGTCAGAGTGCTCAAAGAATAGGTAATACTCACAATGACTTTTGGTCCAAGTATTTTCCTCCCATGCAAGTCTGACAATTTTTTAACTTATATTTTTATATAGAGGTAATTCTATATTATCACTTAATATTAAATATAACAAATGGGGGATTTTAATAATCACATTACTAAATTTTGATCCCTGAAATTCTCAGCAAACATGCCCATATATTCATTTCTACTGATCAATCATTCTTTATCTTTTTCAACCAAATTTGGCACACAGTGACTAACCTTTTGAAAAACTCTTTTTAACCTCATAAGGTGCTGGATATCTAAATATGCTGTTTCGATTGCCACGGTTAAACCTGATTCGTATAATTGTGACGAAATATTTCATATTAATATGACATGAAATATTCATGTAAAACGAATGGTGTCAACACTATTACGAATGAATTGGTAAATGGACACATGCATCCAAGAAAAAAAGGTTGAAATCACCATTACGTTGTTGACCAATTGTATACAACTGGGGAAATCCCATAATGTAAATCTTTTTCAATAACCAACACAGGCAATAAGATGTTGGGCGAAACAAGTTTAGGCAACCGAAACTAGTTTCTCCCACCATCTTTAACAGGAAATGATGAAAAAAATGCATATATTGTAAAATGACAAAGTCCATGATTTGTAATAGTAAAGTGATGTGCACGAGAATCCAACGATGCTTGTGTAAAATAGCATCTACCATGCGCTATGTTATGATCACTTGGCCTTGCTGCTGTAGACTTTCTTTTCCTGTTATGCGCCATCTCCAATTGCCAATGTGACGTGATATTTTAATTTTTGTCTTATGTAAAATTATTGCTTTTGAACAGAAACTCTCCGCTCTACAACAAATCACTGCATCACATAATAACTACATTAAAGTTACACTATCAACCACAGCAACAGGATGTGATCTTTGTATATTGGTCTTTGAAATATAAGGAAATGAACTTTGAAATGTAGAAAGTGCATTTATTTTAAATATATGAAATATGCCAAAACAGTAAATATCGAGGGTTCCGTATTTCGCTAAAAAAAATTCAAATTGTAAAAATATAAGATCAAAATTTTTCAGGATAGATTGATTTACTTTATTTCTAAAAATCTTCAAATTGTATATTTTGACACACGCACTGCCCGGAAGAAAGTATATAGACGCACTTTTTTCGAAAACATCATTTTGTAGCTTAGGGTTTTTGCCAAAAAATTTTAATAAAAGTGGCAAAAGGATTTAAATTTTGCATATCAACATATTAAAGCTGCCATTTCAAAGATTAAAGTTTTCCAAAGGATTTTTATTAAATGCGGAGAGTAGGTCAGACCTTTATCCCTTTTATTCTAGTGATAAAGCTACAGCCTTTCGGAAATTGTCTGCGTGTGGTGATTAAAAGTGCAAAAAATTCAACGTGTCAAAATTTCAGATATGTATGCTATTTTGAAGCGAGGAAAAAAACTTGGTCAAAAGCTTTTAATTACTATATATTCATATTTATATTTAGTGGGTAATATAAGAGCCTAATTTATAAATTAGGTTTATCTCGTGTAACGATTTTTTGAGTGAAAAAATATTCCTTATCATCATCGATTCCTATCAATAATAATCAATATATATATTTGTAATAATTAACGGATTGTTAGGGTAAATTGTTGTTTGATTTAATTGATTCTGAATTTGTTTTCGATATGATGTGCAGGATTCATTTAATGTGTTGGTTGACACCTTACAGATTTAAAATATGAACTAAGAGCAAAGCGAAGAACCTTTAAATTAATGTAAATTGTAATATTTTACCAGGATTAGTTTCATTATATTATACAACCAAGGCAAGTTTGTGGATAGAGGTAAAATAGCAAGAGTATTAGAATTTGGATTATGAGGAAGGAGGATGAGGAACAGGATTACGAGATCAAGAAGTCAAGGATATAAAGAAAACATACAAGAACAAGTGGAAGAAGTGGAAGTGGAAATCCATGTGGTGATGAGAATCAAGTGTGAATGGTAATTAAAATTATTTTGATCAAAAATCCAACACCATCAACTCCATAGTGATTCTAAATAATTAAACTGCTAGAATAGAACATTAATAACAATGGTGCAACAATATAGCATGAAAAAGAAATTTATTATTATAATTATAAATATAATGATGGTGATGATGATAATAATAATATGTTGGAGAAGGGAATGTAAAATATTACAAGATAGAATTAATGATTTAATGAATAATAATAATATAATAAACTACTTTTTTTTCCTCTACATACTGTATTGCATTCTATTGTATTTGTAATCGATTCTTTTAACTCCAACCAGCACATTTACTTGCAATCCCTGAACCCAATAACCATACACTTTCCCAATATAGGATTAACTGTGAAACTGATTTTTTACCGTTTTTGATGAAATCTTTATCGATTCCATAACGAAAGTCGCCATTATGATGATTTCTTTTTAATATTTTTATCCTACCACTATAATAGCCTTCATCTTTAGAGTAAAGGTTGTCAGCATCATAATTCCCACACTCATGGTTGTCATTCATTAAATCTTCCAACTTTATTTTCCATAATGATGATTTTTTCTTTACTTGCTTTTCTTCTTCCTGTTGTGGTTGTTTCTCAATAAAAACTGAGGGAATACGCCTTCGTAATGGAACTTTTCTACGAATGGCCATTGCCACATACTTCAATTCAAAGATATCCATATATGTCTTTGTATCTAGGAAATTATTAGATGAGGTGAGATGAAATGTGATAAAATGTAATATTAAAGAAAGATTAATGAGATGACAATAGTTGAAAGTTTTTTTTCTCCAGTTGATTTTTTGATATAATTATAATAAATAAGAAACAAATGAATGAATGAATGAATTAATGAATGAATTAATGAATGAATAAATGAATTGTTTTTTGATAAGAAAAATTTTATTGTTTTCCTAGAACAGAGGAAGTGATAGATAGTCGCACACTTAACAACTCCTGTTTATTATTATTGTTATTGGTGGTTTTAAGCTGATAATTATTAAATTTTTAAAAATTTTTTTTTGTTAGTTATTGTTATATATATTAATTATATTATTAACCCTTATCCTATTTTATATTAAATTTTATTTAATGTGTAATGTTTTACAATAAATATTTTTTTTATTGTTTTTTTTAGATTTATTTGTAATAATCAAAAATATTATTGTCAAATAAGATATAGTAATGGTGATAAAATATTTTCATAATCTAGGTTATATATACAACTTTTTGATGTCAATAAAATAAAATTTAATAACTTTTCAAATTTTTTTCCTTTTTGATATAAATTAATTTATAATTTCTAATTCCACCTGACCCCATTGTCATCCAAATTAGCATTAGTATTAGTTAGCCATTAACCATCATCGCTATAATAACTTAAAAAATATTTCGCCAACAAGCAAAAAACTCGTAATGTCAATATTCTCGAAGTTCGGGACAGAAACGTGTCACTTTTATTCGTAGTGACGAGAAATATATTAATATTAAAGACGAAACCATTGATAACCATGATGGTTTCACACATTATAACAATTGTATCGTAGAATCAAATCAAATATTGTTCAAATTTTGGTGAATTCAAAAGAAACAAACTTCTTCTTCGGATACATTATTATTATCATCAAAGCGTAAATTTTAGCAACAGCTCCGTTAGCAAAACAAACTCTCTCAAATAAATCTAGCCAAAGATAAAGGAAAGAATCTTTTAGTCCCAATTAATTTAGCATTATTGATGAAAGAAGCAATCTTCACAATGATAATAATTATTATCAATAACAATTGGAGCCTTCAACTATCTTCACACAAAAACAAGATGAATGTCATGTTGGCGAAGATAAAACAAATTCAAATTAAATTCGTTGGACATCTCCAAGATATAAGAACTAAAAAAAAAGCGATAGCAACATAACATCTGGTGATGACAAACCGTATGATGCCGATCATTTAATTAAAGCAGAAGATTTATACAAGTAATGCCCAAAAAGCTGATTCAGGAACATTACTATTAACCAATCGATAACGAATCGACAAAGAACTTTAAAACAGGACGAATGTTCTAATGCTTTTGATGCTAATATGGTATTAGACACTGTAGATATCTTGTCACAAAACTCAAATTCGATCTATTTTATTACTTAACAATGAAGGATCAGTAGAATCAAATATACTTTTTCCATTTCTGCTCTAATACTTTAGTACAAGATTTATAATTATTTCGAGTTTATTTTAATATTAATTAAATTCTAAAAACAAAAAAATCAAAGAGAACAAAATTATTAAACTATTTATTTAGTCATCATCGTCTTTAATTCTTTGGAAATTTTTTTGCAAGTTTCTTGAGTTGTTGCACACATTTTTTTCTGTCTCTTGATTTGGGTTTAGTGCATTTCTTGACCATTTTTTTGTCTTTAGCACTCAATTTAGTAGTATCAATCTTTTTGATCAAAGATTCCATTTCACTGTCACCTTTAGGAGGGTCTGCAGATTTACTTGACTCGGCAGGAATAAGTGTTTTTCCATTTTGCACAAATGTTGGAATTTCTGAACTTTTGGGGGTTGGTGATTCGAATGGAGGTAAATTCTTGGGATTTGGTGAAGGATCTTGATTTTGGGTTAGGCCGTCCAACTCTTTGTTTCTTGGTTCTCGGTCACATTTTGCAGATGGTTGTCCATCATTTGGAGTGTTTCTTTCTGCTTGTCTCAATTGTTGAGCAAGCTTAATCATTTCACTTTGTGTTTTTGCATCACCTTCTTTACCAATTATATTAGCCATATCAACAAAATTGTCACAGACGTCCTGTTGATCACATTTGGGTGCCGCAGCTAATAAAGAACGAACATAGGCACCAGTCAAATTACCCGTGTAAGCGCTTTTATCACCAGCAGGAGGTAAGGCTCTCATCTGGGCTAAAACACCATCCTGTAGATTTTGTTGACCAAATCTTGCATCAACATTGACAATTAAAGAAAAGGCTAATACGGCAGCGCCAATAGCTTTAGATAAATTCTTCATGTTTTTTAATATTTTTTTTTAAAGAAAAAAGAGAGTGTGTAATATTTATAATCAATTTTTCTTCCTACATTTAATAATAATCATTCTCTTGCTTCAAATTGAAAATATCATTTCATTCATTCAATTGGTGACGACGACGATCGGTTCATTCATAATTTCTGGTTAATACATGATGAAACAATTTTAGCATGTTAATTTAAAATCGCCGCAGTAGATAATGTTCTAATTTGCATGATTTCATGCACCACAAAACTGATTAATATAAGGGTGAAACATTAGACCTGATTACAAATGTTTTCTTTATATATTAATACTAAGTAAAATGGATTTTTTGTCCAAGAAGGTCATACGTTACTTCTTTTTTAATTAA